ATATGCCAGTGTGTACGTGCATGATTAGCGAGATATTTGAAAGAGTGGATTAGAGTGGATATTAACACAACTACTTTATAAATTTTATCAGTATACTCATCTCTGTATATATATATATATAATGTAGAACAGTAATATACATTTATATACAGGATACAATATAGAACATATATAAATGATTATTGAATAGAATTACCAGCTTGTCATTATCAAACACATGACCGGCCAAAGTTTCTAAATGCTCCTTCAATATTTCCGTATTCATTTTCCAATAATTCGTGTCCCAAATGACAGTTCATTAACAATACGGATTTACAAATCCATACTAAGTAATATAGTTGAATTTTTGTTAAACTTCTTCTCTTTTCTTGAAATTTCTATAGAATGAACACACGGTAGAACACACGGCCAATAAATTTTTCCCTCCAGCCTTTTACAAGAAAATTCAAGAAATTAAATGAATAAACATATAAACATTATTGAATAAATACAAATTTGTTGAAGATGATTACAAAAGGCGATCACAAATTCTAATCACAAACTTTCAAACATGTAACAAGTCCGCACTTGGCTATTATTTTAATGATTAGGTTAGGTCGTTGTCATTTTTTTAAATATGTGTATTAATTGATTGTCTATAAATCACGTGATCACAAAATTTACTTTGAAAATTCTAAAATTCGTTCACTACGATATTATAATTCATTATTTTATTTATTGACAAATTTTTATTTTATGAAGTGTGTTAATTTGATATATTTTATACCGACGTTGAAGGAAAATTGAATTTTAGTATACATTTATTAAATTATAGGTTAGTCGGTCACGAACTTTCCGAACAACTCAATATTTAAAGAGAAAGAAAATTTAATACAAAGAAAAATGAATTTAATTAAACTAAACTAACTTTTGAATTAAATATATGTGATTATTATTTCTCGCAGCTATTTGCAAACTTACGTTCATGAGAATTACAATAATAACTAGAGAATTAAAAAGACAACTTTAAATAATCATTTAAAATTGTATGTCCCAGAAAACGAGAATAAATTAAAATGGATTGAAAATTTTTTCTATCCAAATGCGTGTTTTAAATAGCGAATACTTTTTTTTGGATTTAATTGGATTCAATTGGATTCAATTGAATGCAATTGGATTGAAAAACTGCATTTCCTATTCAAAATTTTGAATTGAACAATATTCACAATTGTGTTTGTGTGCACAGAAAAAGCTAATATTATTTTTAGATTGAAAGGATAGAGATATGTTCCATGCAATTCCTATAAATAAATAAAAATGCATTCAGAATTGAAAAGCATTCATTTTAACATTCGTGAATCAATATTTCTGAAAATTTGAATCCATTTCAATTCATTTCAATCCAGTCTCGTTTGCTGAGACGTTTGCGTTCGTCAATTATTGATATTGCTCCCGTCAAACTGCACGAACTTTATGAACTTCATGTCGAAGCAAACACTACATGTATTGCTTTTCCATGACAGTATACCTTCATGAATCATTGTGTGATGCTCCATGGAAAATTCGTGCAAAATAGCGGCGACGATACGTGTAAATCGTGAGCGAAGGACTGCTTCCAAGGATGCCCGTGATATGACGCTATGCGAATTATTCTTTTCATCGTATTTTACATTGCGATTTATGTGGCAAGAATCGCGATTGGTAATGATATCGTCAAAAAGATGTCAAGTACATGCATACAATTATTTAAACTTAAATTCGTTTCAAATCATTTTTTCATTAAATGTAACAGTCTTAAGTTTTTATATTTATAAATTTATATTTATATACACTATATTTTTTATGTACACATTTTACATTTATATGTTAAACATACTATTAACCCCCAATTAGCTATGGGTCATTTGAATTTAAAGTAAAAATTTCTAAAGTACAAAATTTTTATTAATTGACTATGAGATTCTAAATTGTAAATAAAACAACTTTGAATCTTCCTCTATCAATTGTTGTAAAACAGAGGTTTATTTGTATTTTGTATTTCAAATAAGATGCTTTAGAACTTAGATGTAGTTTTCATAATTGTAATTAAGGATTAAATAACTTGTGAAGATGCTTTACAGCATATAGCTGTTAAAAAGTTAAGTCTTAAACTAGTTAAGTTATTATTGCATATTAAAAAAGACTATTTTTTTATTTTAATAAACAATTAATAATTGTTTTGTTAATATATTATCGTACATATCTTCCTAGCATCTCTTTTTTTCAATGCTTGTAGGAAGCAGCAAGAACAAATATATCTTTAAACAGAAAAGTGCAGCATCGCGAAATAGAGTATCCGAAATACCTATCGATGATGGAATAATCCAGATAAATAAGCATAATAGACAGTCATTGGGAAATCAAATCGACGGCTTTCTGCAAAACAAAAAAGTTTTAAACAACTTAACGCGAAGTTTGCGAAAAAGAAAGAAACATGTGAAAAATTCGAATAAGGTTATGAATCATTGGAATAATTACACGGGCAATAATGATATCACTGAAGAGGATATCTTATCGAATGTTGCGAGATTTCCAATCTGGCGAGTCTCAGAATCAACACGTGCCGTAATCAATTTGGATTCTACGACGAATCCGTCAATTATGGAAACAAGAAAGATAATTAATCGACCATTGCTCGCGTTTGAGAAGCCGCCATCGCAATTAGAGAATTTAGATCACTCTGTGGATAAAGCAATATTTCCTATCGCTAGGCGGTATCCAAATTCGCGGAGATTACTTGATCTAAATGCTTCTAATAAAAATCTAATCCTTTCTAGAATTGCAAATCCGAAATCAGAAGTTACGGACATACAAAGTCCTGCTTTTAAAGGATTAAATAACAAAATGTTACTTCCTGCGTATCATCCTGGAAAATTTGTTGGCGTGGATTCATCGAATTCCAGTCATCCTCAAGAATTTCAATGGCGATACAATGGATATCAGAAGAATTTGTCAAATTCATACAATGTTAAAAAAGAATTATTCAGTGATCGCCTGACAAGCTCTAACAAAAGATATTTGCTAGTACCGATTTCTAAGAATCTGTACGTTTTGAAGAACGTCCGAGAGAGTTCTCGAACAGATGTAGATAGAACAATTATACCTAAGCGATATAAATTGTTAGAAAAAGATAAGGATACAACCTCGGCAATCTTCTCGTTCAAGACATATATGCATCACGATGTAAAAGATGTACGTAAAGCGTATCTTCAAAGAGACAATCTCCATTTACTTGATCACGACATGAATTATTTATATTCTACTCTTGAGCCTCGTGTTCCCAAAGAAAATGAAAATCTGGTGTCGCTGTCTCATTCTGACTTCTTGTACCCGGATATTGCTTTTCAGACTGATCCCAATTTAATCGACGTTACTTCTAAAATTTCCGAAGAACAAGTTGTCTTCCCCGTTTTGGATTACGAAAATATTTCCTTGGTGGATATTAACTTGCATGACGGAATCAATTTTTATGATTCATCGACACTTTCAATATCTTCTTCCTTCGATATTTCTGATTACGATGTAACTTCAAAGAAAATCACGAATTATGATCAACTGAGTACCTTATTTGCGGCAAAATTAAATGAGATAAATACAATTCGACAAAATAGTGGAAATTACGGAAATTCTTTGAAATACAGTGAGTTTGGTGTCGAATTGACGACTATCGATTTCCGAGATACTTTTGACACGCTCGATGAATATATATATACACTAGCTACTTTAGAAGATGTTGAAATAGATTTAATTAACGATAAAGAAGTATTTGATACGCCACAAAATCGAGAAGATCCGAAATTTTTAATAGAAAGCAACGAAGATAAATCTATAACAGACTTTATAGATGACATTTCAACGCAAGATAGAGCTGTCTTTGACGCATCAAATGAAGATAATACTTTCTTTCCAAATATCACTAACTACTTCGTTAATAATGGCATTTTAAATAGCCAAGATATAGATAATCAGGAATACGGAATTTCGATTTCAAGCGAATATAACAATAAAATGTCAACACATTCCAACGATTTTTATTACAATAATAGATCAATCGAGATATTGTTTACTAATTATACTACTGAAATAGATTCGTTTCTTAAAGATGATTACGTAACATCTGCGCCGTTACTTCTAAGTACTGATGAATGGCTATTGAAGAAAGCGCAGTCTAACGTAGAAAATACAAATGCTCTATTAATGGCAATTAAACCATTGTCCTCAGAGTTACAAAAATTGCTAGGCGCAATTCAGTTAGTCAATCAAAGTATGAGCAACGTGCAAAGTAGACTGTGTGATAAAAAAAATGTCGTCGGATCAGCGAGGATTGAGCGAGAGAGCAAAAATAGAAACGCCACAAATATTACAAAGCTAGTTGATAAAGTAGATTATTACAATTCTGATTTCTCTACAAAAAGTTTTAATAATCAGTCTTTGGATAAGAGACGTATTGAAATCGAAGGTAAAAATGTTGCAGAACGCGATGTAAAAATTAGAAGAAGTACTATCTTTTTAAATAAATTGATGACACCGTTTCATAAATACAAAAGCTCAATTAGCGATTTAGAAGTACAGAGCGGTCGCAGAAACTTCTTCAAAAAGAGAAAATTGAATAAGAGAGAGTTTTCCAAATCAGGCGACAGATTGTCTCATTCAAGGTTTAATAGAAATTTAAAGTCTCTGACGAAAAATTACGAAACACGAATGAAACCAATCCGACAGTTTATCGGATTGAAAAAAATGAAGCGTACAACAACGCCAATTTTAGGATTATCGCGTTTGATTAAAAGTGACATATCGAGCAAAAATTTTGCAGGCGGTAGACAAAATCATCCAGAGAATGATCAAATAAATAGATCGATTGCATCGGATAATACACCCTCTTTAAATATGCTTGCAAAGAACAATTCAGCGCATTTCTTATCGGATGATAAACGAGATCTGACACAACGCAATGTGAAGAGAGCAATGTCGAACGAAATATCTGGTTCTGGTAAAGAAAAAAAATTTCATCTTACTGATCCACAATTTTATAAGGAAGAGACGGCTTATATTGATATATTTGAATCATTGAACAAAACTAAAAAAGTAGATACTACTATATGGACCACGCAGAAACTAATGGAGTCGTTGCCGTTAATTATCACAACTACAGAATTTTTTGTACCTAGGTTAACATTTTTGCCATACTTTATCGAGACACCGACAATTACAGCTTCCAGTATAATTACAGAAAAGAAAGAAATTTTCGAGATAACTAAATCATCTTTATATGAATACATAACAGTTACTGATTTTAGATACAGTGAGGATTACGATAAACGAAATTATGCAAGCATATATAAAGAGTACGAGTACGAAGATATAACTTTTAAAATTTCAGAGATTGTATCATTGACACAATCGCCGGTTACGTTAAGTGCTTCTATAATACCAATATCGACTACGTTGCCACTACTTTATATGACAGAATTAACAATTCTTTCGATGAAGGAAGCTGCAATATCAATCACTGATTTAACTATAACACCAATTGTTGCGATTACTACTGAAGTAACTGAGATTCCCATCACAATTCCAATGATAGAAAGTTTTACAATCGAATCTATCATGCTATTAACTCCATTTTTAGAAGGTATGACGGATATTACTTTAAAGATTACAATTCTTGTAGCTACTAAAACTTTAATTGAAGAGATATCCGCTGTAACAGAGGAGGAAATTGTGGAAAGTATATCAACAAGTCTGGCAATGGAAATAACACAAAGTTCATTTATTGAAACAAATATATCTTTATATACATTCTTGACAGTACCATTATTTGGGACACAAACAGAATTGATGATTGAAACTACAACTTCTATTGTATCAGTTTTAACATCTCTAGCAATTACAACAGCTTCTCAAATTGCAACATCAGAATCTACTGTTGGCGAGAATATAACTTTGCATAAAGTTGAGAGTACTGCAATCACAAGTTCGCCTATGGTTTTAGAACAAACGGAAACGATTTTAAGTACGTCGACAGTAATTGTGACAACAACTTTAATACCGGAGGATGAGAGTCCAGTGTCACAAATTGAGAAAACTATAACCGCGGAGGAAACAGCTACAGAAATTCCAACGATTACCGAAACTCCAATACCTACTGAAATTATAATAATTACTACTGAAACTTTAACAATAGCTACGGAGATTCCAATGACTATAGAAGCTACAACAATTATAGAAACTTCAATTCTTACTGAAATTTTAGCAACTCTTAAAACTCCAATTATTGAAGAAACTGCAAGTACTAAAACTTCAACGCCCAGTACAATTCTAAGCTCACTTAAAACTAAAACAACCGAAATTTCGACAACTAGCAAAACTTTGACAATTACTGAGATTTCATTTATAAAAACTACAATTACTGAAATTCTACCGATTAATAAAACTATGACAACTGCGGAAACACCAATAACTATCAAAACTTCGACAGCCAGCAAAATACTAACGATTAGTACAATTCCAACTACTATATCTACAACAATAACAACGGAAACTTTAACATCTACTGAAATTTTGACAACTTACAAAACTCCAATTATCAAAGAAACTACAAGTGCTAAAATCATAACGCCTACTGAAACTCTAATGCCTATTGAAACTTCGACAATTACCGAAATTACAACATCTACAAAAATTACTGAATTTCTAATGACTAATAAAAGTGTAATAACAATGGGGACGCCAACATCTATCCAAATCCTAATAACTAGCGAAATTCCAACGATCAGTACAACTCCAACGACTATAACTACAACAACAACAACGGAAACTTTAACATCTACTGAAATTTTGACAACTTACAAAACTCCAATTATCAAAGAAATTACAGGTACTACAATCATAACACCTACTGAAACTCTAATGCCTATTGAAACTAAAACAACTATTGAAACTTCGACAATTACCGAAATTACAACATCTACAAAAATTATCGAATTTCTAACGACTAATAAAAGTGTAATAACTATGGGAACGCCAACATCTATCCAAATCCTAACAACTAGCGAAATTCCAACGATCAGTACAACTCCAACGACTATAGCTACAACAACAACAACGAAAACTTTAACATCTACTGAAATTTTGACAACTTACAAAACTCCAATTATCAAAGAAATTACAGGTACTACAATCATAACACCTACTGAAACTCTAATGCCTATTGAAACTAAAACAACTATTGAAACTTCGACAATTACCGAAATTACAACATCTACAAAAATTATCGAATTTCTAACGACTAATAAAAGTGTAATAACTATGGGAACGCCAACATCTATCCAAATCCTAACAACTAGCGAAATTCCAACGATCAGTACAACTCCAATGACTATAGCTACAACAACAGCAACAACGGAAACTTTAACATCTACTGAAATTTTGACAACTTACAAAACTCCAATTATCGAAGAAATTACAGGTATTACAATCATAACGCCTACTGAAACTCTAATGCCTATTGAAACTAAAACAACTATTGAAACTTCGACAATTACCGAAATTACAACATCTACAAAAATTATCGAATTTCTAACGACTAATAAAAGTGTAATAACTATGGGAACGCCAACATCTATCCAAATCCTAACAACTAGCGAAATTCCAACGATCAGTACAACTCCAATGACTATAGCTACAACAACAGCAACAACGGAAACTTTAACATCTACTGAAATTTTGACAACTTACAAAACTCCAATTATCGAAGAAATTACAGGTATTACAATCATAACGCCTACTGTAACTTCAACGCCTATTGAAATTAAGATAACTATCGAAACTTCGACAATTATCGAGATTTCAACAACTACAGAAATTATTACAATCAGCAAAATTCTAACGGTTACTGAAACTCTGGTAACTACAGAAACAGCATTTACCGAAACTCCAATAACCAGCGAAATATCAACGATTAGTATAATTCCAACAATTACAGAAATTACAGCCACTACTGAAACTTTAACACTTACTGAAATTATAGCAACTACTAAAATTCCAACAATTAAAAAAATCGTAAGTACTAAAGGTTTAACGCCAACAATTACGGAAACTCTATCAAGTACTGAAACTCAAATGATTACCGAAATTTTAACAATTACCGAAAGTTTAGAATCCACAGAAATTCCAATACCTTCGACTACATCTATTACAACTGTGTTTTTCACAACGTCAGAAAGTACTACATCATTCGTGACAACGTCCTCGAAAGAATTTTTTCCAACATCAACTCTGTCTACTTTGACTACAATTATTATTACTGAAACAGCTGAGACCATTTTAATTTCTTCAACGACACCTATTGTAACGCTATTACAAACGTTGATTATGAACACAACGCTAAGTGAAACGCCATGTACTACAGTTTCTAGTATGTTTTTGACTACGACAAAAGAAGCTATTACAACTTCTTTCAAAACTGCAATTCCAACTACATCATTAAAAATAACAACGACAACGCCACTATCATTAATTACAAGCACAATCAAGTCAAGTGAAATGCCGAATACTACGCTTTCTACATTTTTAATAGAAGAGATTACAACTTCTTTAATACCTATGACAACATATTCATTTGAGACATTACATACTAAAGCTGCATTATCAATTCCTACAACGGTATCCACAATCGAAACGATTCTGACTACATCATTCATCTTGACTATGAACACCACAGTCTTCAGTACAACTGCTAGCACAATCACAGAAGAGAAAAGTACAATATCTTCGCTTACATATTCGACGGTAACAACGCCTTCTATCACTCAAATTCCAATCAAGCCTATTGTGATGGATACTGGAACAACAGTTTATGAGACTACATCTACCTTAGTTACTTCCTCTCTTTTAACAGAGATTATTGAAGGTACAACGTCTTCTGTAATAGAATATGAAGAAACTAAAGAATCTGAAAGATATTATGAAACCACGAGAGAAGAAATAGCGACAGAACGTACAATTCGGATTACTACAAAAGAAGTTATTATCATCGAAGAAACAACACCAATAACGTTTTTTACGTTTTCTGTCGAAACGACTTCAGAAGCAACTTCTCCCGTAATCGAAACGATTACTTTACCCACGATAACTAAAGAAACTTTATTGATTGAAAAAATCACTGTTACTCCTGAAATAATGATCGAAGAAATGTCGTCATTATCGGAAGTTACATTAATTTCCACTGAAACAAGTACAATGCCAACAATAGAAACAAGTATTACGAGTACCAGTTTGGTACTCACAACAACCGCAACGACTGCTTTACTTTTGGAAGAAACTGCCATAGAAATTACAGAAACAAGTTTGATAACAACTATTATTACAACTGCTACATTGTTGCCAACTATTAAAAGACCAGAATATGTAACAATTTTAGAAGCTGCAATTACTGTGACGCTTGCTCCATTTTCTGAATTTATTCTATCAATAATAATTACATCGGAAACACCTATGACTACATCGGAAGTTATTTCTACATTGCCAAAAACTGTATCAGAAGAGTTTACGATGTCAGCGACTGAAAGTCCATCAATAACATACGCTACTCCAATTTCTATATTACTTATCAAAACAACCATTTCTCCCATTGTTTCAATTTCGACAGTATCTACTGAAGAATTGCTAGAAGCTGAAACGGAATATTATATAGCAAAAGAGCCATTTTATGAAGAAGAATATAAAGAATATGAAGAATATGATACTGAAATACCAACTGAAAGGTGGTATTATTATGACGAATACAAAACGACAAAAGAAACAGCCGTAACAGAAAAATATACGAAATTACTTAAAGAAAAGACAACGAGTTCGCCTTTTATTACTATATATACTACATCATTCGTGACAACGTCCTCGAAAGAATTTTTTCCAACATCAACTCTGTCTACTTTGACTACAATTATTATTACTGAAACAGCTGAGACCATTTTAATTTCTTCAACGACACCTATTGTAACGCTATTACAAACGTTGATTATGAACACAACGCTAAGTGAAACGCCATGTACTACAGTTTCTAGTATGTTTTTGACTACGACAAAAGAAGCTATTACAACTTCTTTCAAAACTGCAATTCCAACTACATCATTAAAAATAACAACGACAACGCCACTATCATTAATTACAAGCACAATCAAGTCAAGTGAAATGCCGAATACTACGCTTTCTACATTTTTAATAGAAGAGATTACAACTTCTTTAATACCTATGACAACATATTCATTTGAGACATTACATACTAAAGCTGCATTATCAATTCCTACAACGGTATCCACAATCGAAACGATTCTGACTACATCATTCATCTTGACTATGAACACCACAGTCTTCAGTACAACTGCTAGCACAATCACAGAAGAGAAAAGTACAATATCTTCGCTTACATATTCGACGGTAACAACGCCTTCTATCACTCAAATTCCAATCAAGCCTATTGTGATGGATACTGGAACAACAGTTTATGAGACTACATCTACCTTAGTTACTTCCTCTCTTTTAACAGAGATTATTGAAGGTACAACGTCTTCTGTAATAGAATATGAAGAAACTAAAGAATCTGAAAGATATTATGAAACCACGAGAGAAGAAATAGCGACAGAACGTACAATTCGGATTACTACAAAAGAAGTTATTATCATCGAAGAAACAACACCAATAACGTTTTTTACGTTTTCTGTCGAAACGACTTCAGAAGCAACTTCTCCCGTAATCGAAACGATTACTTTACCCACGATAACTAAAGAAACTTTATTGATTGAAAAAATCACTGTTACTCCTGAAATAATGATCGAAGAAATGTCGTCATTATCGGAAGTTACATTAATTTCCACTGAAACAAGTACAATGCCAACAATAGAAACAAGTATTACGAGTACCAGTTTGGTACTCACAACAACCGCAACGACTGCTTTACTTTTGGAAGAAACTGCCATAGAAATTACAGAAACAAGTTTGATAACAACTATTATTACAACTGCTACATTGTTGCCAACTATTAAAAGACCAGAATATGTAACAATTTTAGAAGCTGCAATTACTGTGACGCTTGCTCCATTTTCTGAATTTATTCTATCAATAATAATTACATCGGAAACACCTATGACTACATCGGAAGTTATTTCTACATTGCCAAAAACTGTATCAGAAGAGTTTACGATGTCAGCGACTGAAAGTCCATCAATAACATACGCTACTCCAATTTCTATATTACTTATCAAAACAACCATTTCTCCCATTGTTTCAATTTCGACAGTATCTACTGAAGAATTGCTAGAAGCTGAAACGGAATATTATATAGCAAAAGAGCCATTTTATGAAGAAGAATATAAAGAATATGAAGAATATGATACTGAAATACCAACTGAAAGGTGGTATTATTATGACGAATACAAAACGACAAAAGAAACAGCCGTAACAGAAAAATATACGAAATTACTTAAAGAAAAGACAACGAGTTCGCCTTTTATTACTATATATACTACATCATTCGTGACAACGTCCTCGAAAGAATTTTTTCCAACATCAACTCTGTCTACTTTGACTACAATTATTATTACTGAAACAGCTGAGACCATTTTAATTTCTTCAACGACACCTATTGTAACGCTATTACAAACGTTGATTATGAACACAACGCTAAGTGAAACGCCATGTACTACAGTTTCTAGTATGTTTTTGACTACGACAAAAGAAGCTATTACAACTTCTTTCAAAACTGCAATTCCAACTACATCATTAAAAATAACAACGACAACGCCACTATCATTAATTACAAGCACAATCAAGTCAAGTGAAATGCCGAATACTACGCTTTCTACATTTTTAATAGAAGAGATTACAACTTCTTTAATACCTATGACAACATATTCATTTGAGACATTACATACTAAAGCTGCATTATCAATTCCTACAACGGTATCCACAATCGAAACGATTCTGACTACATCATTCATCTTGACTATGAACACCACAGTCTTCAGTACAACTGCTAGCACAATCACAGAAGAGAAAAGTACAATATCTTCGCTTACATATTCGACGGTAACAACGCCTTCTATCACTCAAATTCCAATCAAGCCTATTGTGATGGATACTGGAACAACAGTTTATGAGACTACATCTACCTTAGTTACTTCCTCTCTTTTAACAGAGATTATTGAAGGTACAACGTCTTCTGTAATAGAATATGAAGAAACTAAAGAATCTGAAAGATATTATGAAACCACGAGAGAAGAAATAGCGACAGAACGTACAATTCGGATTACTACAAAAGAAGTTATTATCATCGAAGAAACAACACCAATAACGTTTTTTACGTTTTCTGTCGAAACGACTTCAGAAGCAACTTCTCCCGTAATCGAAACGATTACTTTACCCACGATAACTAAAGAAACTTTATTGATTGAAAAAATCACTGTTACTCCTGAAATAATGATCGAAGAAATGTCGTCATTATCGGAAGTTACATTAATTTCCACTGAAACAAGTACAATGCCAACAATAGAAACAAGTATTACGAGTACCAGTTTGGTACTCACAACAACCGCAACGACTGCTTTACTTTTGGAAGAAACTGCCATAGAAATTACAGAAACAAGTTTGATAACAACTATTATTACAACTGCTACATTGTTGCCAACTACTAAAAGACCAGAATATGTAACAATTTTAGAAGCTGCAATTACTGTGACGCTTGCTCCATTTTCTGAATTTATTCTATCAATAATAATTACATCGGAAACACCTATGACTACATCGGAAGTTATTTCTACATTGCCAAAAACTGTATCAGAAGAGTTTACGATGTCAGCGACTGAAAGTCCATCAATAACATACGCTACTCCAATTTCTATATTACTTATCAAAACAACCATTTCTCCCATTGTTTCAATTTCGACAGTATCTACTGAAGAATTGCTAGAAGCTGAAACGGAATATTATATAGCAAAAGAGCCATTTTATGAAGAAGAATATAAAGAATATGAAGAATATGATACTGAAATACCAACTGAAAGGTGGTATTATTATGATGAATACAAAACGACAAAAGAAACAGCCGTAACAGAAAAATATACGAAATTACTTAAAGAAAAGACAACGAGTTCGCCTTTTATTGAAGGCACAACAATATCTTTATATAAAATAATAACTTCGGAGTTTACAAAATACCTAACACATTCTGAAGCTGCATCAACTTACATTAATGTGATTTCAATCGTGACTACTTCAGAAATATCTTATACTGAAAAAATTACTTCAACTTCTACCTTAGAAACGTCCACATCGACTATAGCTGAAAATGTAACAACGGTTAAAATGGAAACTGAGTTAACAGCGTCCACTACAAGTAAAGAAGTAGAACCAATAATATGGTTAACTTTTGGTTCTACTGAAGAATATACTCTTCCCTCTTCAACAACTTTCAAAATTTCGACGGAACCACTTGAATATCTAACGGTTCCTCCCAAGTACACGGCTATAGAATGGTTCACGGAAATCTGGCTCACCTCACCAAAATTCACTACAAAACCTAAAGAAATTCCAAAGATTGCATTAAAAAAGACTACAATTCCAGAAGAAGTTTCAGAGACTGAGACTGCCGTGGAAAAGTTAACTTCTTTTTTCATCTCATCAACGCTAACGACGTTACCGGAGAGAGAAGTTATTGAAGTATACATAACAACTATGAGTACTGCATCTTCTGAAATGGAAGATATTATCAAAACCGCTTATGAAGTTATCACTTCAGCGATTCTGGAAGAAGAGACTATTCCGAGTGTAATACCATTTACCACGTCTGAAGCTGAAACTGAACTTGTATTTACTACGATGAGCAAAAGTGAACGAGAACTGTTGAACGAGTTACTACAACGATTCGAAAAGCTCAAACAGTATGAAAAAGAGATGGCGGAGAGAGAAGAAAGGTTCAAGGAAAAAGAAAAACAGTGGGAAATAGAAAAGGAAAAATGCAAGAAAATGATGCAACGTACATCTGTGACATATGCTCCAGAAGAAACAATTATACCTTACACTATAGAGAAAAGCACATTTATCACATACATTACAAAAGAGACAGAGGAAACGCAAATTATAGATTATATAACTTTAATACCGTATGTTACTACAACTATCATGGATTTGTATAATATCGGTTTAACTTCAATTGAATCTACAACTTTGTATGCTACCAAAGAAATGTATACTATAAGTTATGTATTCGAAACGACTCTATTTAGTATAACAGAGAAAACCATATCTGTGACATATACTACGGAGAAGACGGAGAAAGCAATAGAAGAGATTACATTTACGCCATACGTTATGGAAGAAATAGAGGAAGCGCCTTACACTACGGAGAGAAGCACATCTATTACATATCTTACAGAAGAAATAGAAGAGATACAAATTACGGATTATATAACCTTCTTATATATCACTACAGCTAGTGTAGATTTATATAGTATCGGCTTAGCTACAATTGAAACTACGACTCCTTATACTGTTAGAGAAATATATACTACGAGTTACATAACTCTTTATAGCGAACCTTTATTCGTTTCACCTACTATTACTAGTCCAACTACTATTACATTAGTCACCAGTAAGTTCATTACTTTACCTATTATTACATTTAGTAAAAGATTTGAAGAAATCAGTGTAACTTCAGTTACAACCCCTACGTGGTACACTACAGAAGAAACATACATAGCAACTTATACAGATATTTATGGTAAACCTTTATTCACTTCACCGGAATTAGAGTTTATAATCACTTTATCAACTATAGCTATTAGTACGACTACAGAGGTAAAATACTATGAGGAAATAAAAAAATTAAGAGAAAAATTGCGTAAGAAAGAGCGCGAATTAGAAGAGAGAGAAAAGATTCTATTGGAAAGAGAGAAAAGATTGGAAAAAGATATAATGGAATTTAATAAATACGTGAAAGAATTTGAAAAGAAAAAAACATCGTTCGAGACTATGTTCACAAGTTTATCAACGCCAGTGCCGCCGACTGAAAGAACTACTGTAAAAGCTCAATTAACAACGCAGATTAAAAAGATAACCGAAAAGAAAGAAAATCGAATGACTACAAAGATGGGAATTACTCAACATACAGAAATGAAAGATATCGAAGAAAAGGAAATAACGTATATTCCTGAAAAACCTGTCACGCAGGAAGAAGAAGAAATAATGACAAAACGAGTTTGTCTGAACGTTTTAGAAAATACAACGATTCCTTTCGATAAAAAAAGAAGAGATATTGTAACCAAAAAGATCTGTCTGCCGTACGTTCTGGAAAAAAAAGAAGAAGAAAAGAAATCAGTTGGTCGATTAAGCAGAAGACTTCTCGCTTTACCAAATACGAAGAAAATTAAAAGACCGAGATGGAATGTTCCATTCAATTTTCGACATCGCAGAAGAGAGAAAGAGACTATTCGTAAGATTGACAATCTGCAGCTGTTGGATTATGACTGGCTGAGCAACGATATCACTAAGCCATTGCAATATTTTAAAGGTTTCACTAGACTTTATAGAAAAAAGAAGAAATTTCCAAAAAAGATTGCAATGCAAAAAAACACGACCGATGATTTTCAAAATAGTACTTCTCTATGTGAACAACGTTTTACAAATGTTTTTCATTATCATGAAAGTGTCTTCCAACCAACTGCAACGTTCATGTTGAATAGTAAAAAATATGAAAAAAAAAACGCATTCTTCAGGCACGGTTTGATTACCACAAGAAAAAGTGACTGTTACATTGACAACAAAGCAAGTATTCGAAAGAGAGACGTTTCATCGATAGAGTACAATGAACGGTCGAAGAAAAATACAGTCAATATTTCAAATGAAAAAGCAATAACTGCAGCCGATGAAATTTATACGATAAACGTACTGCACCTTAATTACGATGAGGATAAACAAACGCATAAAGTAATATCTGCTAAACCAGATGAAGACGAACTAACAGCAATTTTATTTGAATCAAATGATGATATTTATGTAACTAAATTTAGAAAAAATAAGAAAATCACAACGCCAAACTATAAGATTGAAGAAGAGAAAAATGAAGATAATGAAATATCAGACAAAATGGAAAAAAAAATAGAAGAATATAATGACTATATCGAGGATTTAGTAGAAGGTATATGCTAAAAAGATCTTAACTTTTCGAATATCAATATTTCTATGGGATTTCATTTTTTAATATTTATTTATGTTATAATACTATTTGTGTGCATTGTGCAAATAATCACATTCGGAGAAAAATATAATGATGGAAACTATAACAACTATATAAGCTTTTTAGAATTAATATACGTAGTTGAATTATAATTGCAATTGTAAATTATAATTGCAATAACTATAACAGTTTATTCAACTATACATTAATTCTATAAAACTTGTATAAATTATTAACTTTATAGATGTCGCTATTCTTTTTTCTGTATAATTAAATTATACGTTCATTTTTAAGGTTTTATTGCAGTAGATATTAGAGAATTTATTTTTTGTATGTTATGACATTGTAACACATATATTTCTTTGTTTAATTTTTTTTAATATTATAGATTACATGAATTATAAGGAACATGAAACATCAACACAAATATATAATGGGAGATTATTAGATAATGGAAATAAGGATAAAAAAATGACAAAAAATGAAAAAGAATTATTGAATCAAATGTGGCCTACTGAGAAAAATACAATGTATCATTTAGGCGGTGCTAGATTATGGGAGCTCGATTTTGTTACGGAATCCACAGTTGTATTATCTACGACAACTGATAAAAGTAAAACCATTAATAGATCGATCATTAGAACGACCTGTTTTGATGCTGTTCTTAAAAGAAATGACAAAATAAAATCTAATATATCTTATTATAAACACCACTTTAATAGCAATAAGATAACAAAACTTGTTTCTATTGAAAAACGAGATGTCAGTCTTGAAAACGTAACGAGAATGAATGCATTGCGTTACGAGTTAAGAACGAAGCAACCTAGGGTAACAAAGAAATTAAAACGCGAATCGCAAAAGTACAAACCAAATCATTACAAGCAGCAAAGTTTCGAAAAGAAAAGAATAGTAAGACTTAACGATTTCCGATGTACCAGCGAAGATTCAACAGTGAAAAACCGCAAGCTATGCATTGCTAATACGAACAAATTGAAGCGTCAAATTGTTAGGCATGAAGATACAAACAAACACAAAAAGAAGCAACTAGCAAAATCGCAAACATCACAAAATTTACATTCCCTTCATAATACAGATAATGGTATCGTAAATAAAAAAAATGCATATCGTAAAACGACTGCCAATCAATATCTTCAAGTAGGTTCTACTGATAAGAAAAACAGTGAGAAAGTAATGCATTCTAATATCATAAATCATAAAAATAAATCAATATCTGCGTCGCATAAACAAAAAATCCATAATTGTTTTAATTGCATTTGTGATATCGCGAATGTAATTAACAATATAAGATCTGTACTTGACAGAACAAGCTTCTCATTAAACGAAATTAAGGCACTTAATTGCAGCGAATATAAAGAGATACAGGATAAAATAGTGATCTCAATGGATTCCGACATGGAGGAAGCCAAAGAATTTCCCCAATCGCATTACAACATTGAATCACTTAAGGGACAGAAATATATTAAACTAGAAGAACTAGAAGACAATTTGAAAAGCAACTCGGAACTTGACAGCGGTACTTCCATCGCAAGTTTTTCATCAATATTTAATATTAAACATGGCAATAATATAAAGAATTTTTTCCAGATAATGATGTTGTTTCATTACCCGGTCTTAATCTCAATTTACCCTGTAATCAAGACAGCAATAGTATCACATGGCTATCAAGCATTAGCAGACCGAGTTACACATGGAAAAGAACGGATGGTATTGCACTCTTCGGTGCGGCATCACATTGTTCTGTCATATTCGAATTCGAAAAGAAGCATTTCACAACAAAAGATGTCATAGATATAAGGCTCAATATCGAATAATTTTTGAATTATGATGTATAAAAGATGTTCCAGTAGTTTTACACGTTGAAAACACTATATATTTAAAAAATTGTTCATTGTTGAGTTTTGTGTCTATGACATATTTCTTGTTCTACATTACAAGTTACATTATATGTGAAAACTAACTCACCAGAATCCAATTTTTCGTATAATTAATGTAAGATTCTTTCGATGAAATTTGGAACTTATGGAATCGTTCGTTGTAGGTTTCGTGATGGAAAATGGCGATTTGGAATTGCGAAATGTGAATGCGAAAGACACGGGAAATTACACCTGTGTCATGACGTACATGAGCCCCGATAATGAAGAATCCGTGGAAACCACTTACGAAATCCATTTGCAAGGTAAATCACTAATTGAAATTTATATTTCAACGAATTCGAAGTCGATAAATGATTCGTTGAAAGAGATCTAAAAAGAGGTCTTTTACAGTTGTCACGCTGCCGAGGTATATTGTGCATGGAGAAAATCGTTATCATGTACGATCTTGTGACGAAGGAGATTTGGATGTGCTGGTAACATATTTACCTCCAAAATTGAATAATATTATATGCGAGGCAGATGTTTGCAACGCTTACGTCTTAACACCGTCTTGCTCCCGAAGTCAAGTACGTTTCCTTATGTACGTTTTCTTATGTTAGAGAAAAGTGTTATCCATAACTGACATAGATCTTCTAAAGAGATACTTCCTTATTTCTTAGAAAAACTAACTGTTGCAGTTTATTAGTACTGATAAAAATATGATTTGTTTAGATATTTAAAGAGGTAAAAACTCATAATTCATATATTTGTAGGTTGTTTCTATACAAAAATCAGCTAAAAATGCAAAAATAAAATTTATGGAATTTTCTTTTGCGAATTACATAATTTATATTATTGATAATATTACATTGCTTTACATACTTGTAGTTTCCTAAATCAATTTTATTTTTGTCTTAATATTATATTTTATAAAATGCAATGTAAACCATCATCCAATGGCGACATTCCAAGACGGGCCTATCTCTCATGAGGTTTTCGTAACAATGGATTATTTTCCGGAATTAGGTTGTTAACCTAATATTCAACTTCCAGCTTGGAGGATTCATATATATATTCACAGATATATTCATAGATATATATGGAACCTACAGTTTAATGCCAGATTCGAACAGCGCTGATAATCAAAAATTTCTTAATCACCAGATGGAGTCATTTTTGGCTACTTAATGTGAAAAATCGCGTATGATTGAATCCGAACATATCGCGATTTAATCGCATCGAATGGCAAATCACTCGACGTCTCGTAATGTAAAGCAGCATATTTATAAAACAGACTCTATAAGCTTATACCTTAGGGTCTTTACGATTCGCCGATTAGCTTAATCGGCTGATTAGTCCAATAGCATTTACCATCAAACGAAATGATAAATGCAATTGCCCAATTTCAATGGACTAATCGGCCGATTAAGCTAATCGGCGAATCGTAAAGTAACCTTTAATCTTTATAGTGTTGCATTATAGTATCAAATAGTCCTATCAAAACTGAAGACAATCGTATATTTATAAGAAAATCTTCAAAAAAAGAAACTCGCATTACATGTTTGCATTCTGCAAAACAACATAAAATATCTATGTATATATTTATAAATGAATGAAAAACGTTTTATATAAATGATAAGAGTCTAGAAAATATACATATTTATTTGTAAGTATTTGTGTAGATGGTTCTTATGAAAGAAAAAGAATAGGAATATGCGACATTATTATCTACTGTCATTTTGGGATCTATTTTGTCAGACTCTCATTTTTCTTAATTTTTGCTTATCTTATGAAAAAGATAATTATTGCAAAATTATAAAAAGTATTACAAAAGTTGCTATATTTTCTGATAAAAGACACTTTCTAGTTTATATTTATGTTTCTAAAGTTTTATTTTTAGCTTCCGTTTAAGAAATATTATCCAAAAACAAAATAATTTCAATGACCTTCCTCTACTACATAAAATAAAATACATTCTAGACTCTTAATTTTGATCTAATAATGTGCGCTATTTGCTAATAATTTGCGCTATTCTTGGTTATAGATTACAGTAAATATTCTGTTAGTGCCATCGCATATCGTTAAACTAATGACGATCGATCTCAAACGCTGCAACGTCTTCTGTCTTAAAGCCATTCAAGATAAACTTTCGCTGATACTGAGTAAAAATCTGCAAATCTTCCTCGGAAAGACTAGTTAGTTGACGAACATATATTTGTTTTACCTTGTCGCAACATACTCTCTACTTTTTTACAAATATAAAAATTAACTTCATTCTATTTTATCTGATTTTGTCTGTACACTATCGCTCAAAAATATTTATCCGTTCTTTATCTTTCTTAATTGAATGAAGAGAATTTTAATTTTTCTTAATCTTTTAGATGTTAGACTTGATAATAATACTTAATAGCTCAAAATTTTATATTCTATATATGTAAAGACAATATAGTAGAATTAGAATGAAATTTAAGAGTAAAAAACTATTAACATCGAGGTGAACAAAATACTTTTGAGTGGTAATGTATATTGTATTTTCATTAAAGTTTCGTTAAGTTACAAAGAATTTTTTAATTTTTCTGTTCGAAAGATATATTCTCTCTCTTTCTCTGCAGCAAAATATCTGTGATAAAATAATTAATGAATACTTATAATTTTATTAGATTAAAATAAAGAAATGTTGCGGCTTTATATAACTCACAATACATCTCTATAGAGTTCTTTAACTATAGTTATTTTCAGATTGCCGCATTACGAGCAGAGACTGGTGCCGATCGTTGAAAAGTCATCGTTCGCAAGACGGAAGAGAGGGAAAACCGATGCAAACGTATCCGCCGGAAAATCCAGTAATATCGGCTTATTCTCCAGCTGTCCAGCGGGATATGGTCTTCGTGATACACATTGTGGTAAGTGATTCGCATATCAGAGAAATCAATATGATATAATCAATTAATTAACAGCTAACGGATTTTCTTTCAGTTCCTTGTAACGTGGGCACTTATAGCGAGGACGGAATATCGCACTGTAAAAGATGCCCACCCGGTACGTATCAACCGAATCACGGTGCCAGAGTTTGTCGTACGTGCACTAATCCAACGACAAAAGGTTGTTACAATATGGTACGTATCCGATGCAATTTGTAAAATATATGCACAGTATGTGCATATACCTGAAGAGTTTCTAGACAAAAATTTTTAAAAATTAACGAATTCAGATATCAGCTTTTGTTCATATACTTATATATTTATTGCTTTCTTACATGTGTAATACGAATTAACTTCATCAATTCTATTTTGCCTGATTTTTTCACGCTATTGCTCGAAAGTATTTATCTACTTTGTCTTTCTTAAATGAAGAGAAGATTTAGGCTTTTATAATTTTCTCTTTTAGATATTATTAGGTTTAATAATGATATTTAATAGCTCAAAATTTTACATTTTACATATGTAAAGAAAATATGATAGAATTGGAATGGAATTTAGAATTTATAAAAATATATAATATATGTATTTCTTTTCCAAAATTATTTTTAATGATATCTGATGATGATGATAATGATATAAGTTACATTTATTAGTGTGGAAACTGGCATTAATCTTTAAAACAACTAACAAATAATTTTTAATATCAGTCTTTCACATTATTGCGGTAGTAAGTCATTTTCTCTCATAGCTCTGGAATTCTTTCTCCGCTGTAATGGTAACTTTGGCGAGTATTGGCGCAATACTGTCGATATGCTTGCTGTTACTATGGATAATCTGCTGCGCTAAGAAGAAATTCTACGTAAAGCGAATAGCTGGTCTTATTATTAGGGAAAATACGTTTGAAAAAGAGGTAAAATTATATAATATTAAATTTTAAGAAATAATAGAAGATAATCGATTCTTTTTATTTTACAGAAACATGTGGAGGAGCAACCGTTGATTAAAAATGCAAGTGAAAATGAAGATCAGCAATGGGACAGCGAGTACAGAAGCAAGAAAAAGAAAGGAAAGTTTTATGTAAATAAAAAACACCGAAAACAAAACGAAACAAAAAAATATAAAACGCACGTTCGTAAAATTCTTGAATAATACGATTAATTTTTTATCAATCTTAAAAATTCTCACGTTAAATTTAGCAGAATTTAAGTTAGTCCAAAGTTAATTTCGTTTTTTATTTCGCTATAGCTATACGAAGATGAATGGGGATCGCATCGTATAAAGAATGTTCCAATAATTAGCCCAGACTCTTATCGATCTCATGAAGATTATAACAATCGTAAGCATCTTTTGATATATAAAACTTCCGATACTGTTTCTTCATATAAATGTTACGTTTTTCATGTGTATATAATAACTCTATTTTATGTAGATTATCCAAAGCGATCATATCGTAAAGGACCGTGCCTGCCAGAATGTGATTTTGATACATGACATATCTGTAAGAAAACTTACTGCGAATAATGAAGAAAATTACGTAATTTAAGAGAAACCTGTAAGATATTTTAGGCTCAATTATGAATTGAAAAACTATGTAATATTTATCCGATTACATGCATATATTTTTAATATATAACTATCCCTACTAAATAGCTATGTATTACATTAATCTTTGTATTAATTACATCTTTATATTGGAGATAATGTATATGTTATAAATAAATGTTGTATGCATATGTATATGAACATTTTGAGATATTATTTTAATTATATAATTATATAATTATATAATATAATAATAATTATAATATAATATAATATAATAATTATAATTATATAATATAATTATATAATTTCAACATTTTAGAAGTATCGATTACATTGTTCAATAAAAAATGACTTTTTTTCTAACATTGGAACGAGATAAATCATACATCCTAGTTTTTTGGATGCTGAATACAAATCCGATTTCCAAAGCTCCATCACGTTACAATGTTGAGAAAACAGTTAGTGGCACAAAAAAGTCGTTAAGTATTTTGTTGTATTAAATATATTATAACTATATGTGACGTGCGGATGTTTTATTACAATTATGATATAAAGACAAAGGTATGCTCTTGCTCATATTTCCGAAAGTACCAATTCAGGGATTTGTTGTTCACCCAATATTAAATAAGGCTAAAATGATACATGGGGACACTCGGTTGATAGTTGAATGTAGTCCTAAACTGAAGGATTTTTAGGGCTATCGTAGACATTCTGTTAACAATTCTGTAACAATAAAGCGTGGTCAATAAATTACCAATTCATCATCGCCACCAATTGCAATGTTCATGACATCAAATCAGAAGCATCACTAATTACTATTGATGTTTCTTGTTTGTTTCAGAAATCCTTAGTTCCTCGTAGACATTCGTAATGAGACGTAAAGTGACGTTGTTTAAGGGCAGAGGATTTCCTGGTTTTTCAAATAAACAACGCTATTCTACGTCTCAATATGAATATTGACGAAAAACAAAGAATTTCTAAAATTTTGTTTCAATCTACATATTATAGTTTTTCGTAAAAACTTTCCAGGGTTGTATACACTTTTTAAAAGTATTTTAAAAATATTTTGAAATTCATGTTCCGTTGTCAACGGAATTCGAAGCCCTGATTACAATATTATAAATAAAGTATATCTGATGGGAATATTTCAAATTTTTTAATATTTTAAAATATTAAAAAATTTAAAATATTGATTTGGAAACAGGACCATTTACTTGAATAAATCAAATTAATACGAAAAGCACCGGTTACGGTTAAAATTAGATATTGAGAATAATATACATTTACAGAAAGTATTTTACATAAAGTAATAATGTAATCTTTTTACGGACTCTCCAATTCAAAACCAAATAGAATCCAAAATCTGGGCAAATAGATATCACTATGATTCTTGAATAAAGACTTAAAATTATATTTTGCGTACTAATTACCACGTTAATTCTCATTTGCCCGGATTTTGGATTCTATTTTATATAAAGTCGGAACATTCATTTTTTTATTAAGATTCGATATTTATGGACTATCTAGAATTAATTTTTCTTTACAGTTTAATTTGCAGTTTATTTGAATATTTATAAAAATTATGTTTATGAATAAGTCCCATATGGGATTTGGTTCTTCTTGGCGTTTATTTGTGCGTTTTTATCGTACGATAAATATAAAACAAAGAGATCCTCGGATCTCTCTATCCCATAGCCAATCACAAGCTTGAAAAATTTGTCATACAACAAAAACGTACGAATATCATCCTTATGCGTCAACGATGTTAGGAAAAATTTGCGAAAACATAGAAAAACACTTATTTTACAAATTTACCTATTTTACAAATGACATTTCTATTCTATTTCAAATATAAAATGAAAATGGTTTTCGAAAAATCATTTAAAATAGAAAATGTAAAATGCTATTTCCATTTACATACATATTTAAAATGGAGCTATTTTAAATATTATCCAGTCCTGATGGTTTGAACACTTCGAAAATCGCCATTGCTCGCTCGTCCCTTTTTCTGGTGAATTAATGAACCTTGGTATCAAGCGGTCATAGAGAATGTGAGATCTTGCAAGTGATAGTTCTATTGCAAAGCCTCAGATAAGTTTAGAATCTCTCTCTCTCTCTCTCTCTCTCTCTCTCTCTCTCTCTCTTTCTCTCTCTCTCTCTGATTAATTGATTTAATATCTATACATTAGAGATTATTTCAACATTTGATATTGTATTGGATTGTCCGGAAAGTTCGTGCCAATTTTGAAGGAAAATTAAAACGTAGAAGATTAAAATTTTTAATTTATTATATTTAAATCTTTTGCGGCACTAACTTTCCGGACAACCCAATATATCAAGTAGCAAGAATATGTTCTGATTGATCTCTTACTTTTTCTTCTTATTAATTTGAAACGTTGTTCTATTAAAATTATAATTAATTTATAAAACAAGGTTTAAATAAATTTGATTAATCTTGTATAAGAAAAGTAAATTCTCTTATAAGAAACATTATTTCAACATTATGGGTAAGTTTATTGCTATTTCTATTTCCGTCAGATTACGTAGATCTAAAGCAATATCCTGATTGACTCATCGGCTCAAGTTTACACTTTACGATTACTGTTACGGAATTTTGTCTGCGGTAGCCCTTAATTAAACCGCTAAATCCGAATAATTAACAAATTCAATATGGCGAATTTTAAAAATTTCAAAAATATTCGAAAAAAATTTGAATTGTTGCGAAAATTTATGTATACAAAAGTCTTTCTAATTTTGAATTTGTTAATTTTGACATTCGATTCGTATTTAGTCTAAAAATCCCTTAAGTTTAAATAAATATAATTGAAAACTTTTTACATTTAGGGAATCGTTAATAACCTAATTCACAGTTTTTTCACAATAGATCTTACATTTAACCGTATCTCATTAACCATAGTCAACATGAAAAATTCTTTTTAAGAGTTGAAAGTCCTAAGAACATGTTTGATTGCAAATAAAACTTCAATACATTACATTATTATTATATATTATAGTTACAATATGACAAAGTAACCGAAAATAACTCTTTTTGCAACTTGAATTATCAATTCAAAACGATAGAAAGCCAATGTAAGCCAGTCATAGGTTCGTGTGCAAGAATTCTTATATGTGAAGTGAAATAAAAATTGCAAACATTTCGATTCTTATTACTGAGTCGCCTTCAATACAGAATTGAAATAAATTCATCCGTGAATAATTAAAAAGTGTCACACAGTCGCTTAATATTATTTAATATTATTTAATGTCGTCAATAATTAAAATTTAAAGATCTGTCGTATTTAATGAATACTCAAACAGTACATTTTAAATTATCTGTAATATATCAAATACAAAACAATATAATTAAAATCTTAGAATGCTAATCAAAATTATAGCCATTAAAATCTTTGGATAAAACTTACATTACATTAAACTTAACTTACATTACTGATGACGATCAATTATTGCGAATGTGCTTACAATAAGACATTAGAAAGTGTGAGATCAAATGAAATTATCGAATGAAATTATTATAATTATATTAAGTTTTATTTTACTTGCTGACTTACATTTGCTTTCTACCTTTTCTGCAATTTTAACTATCAATTTCTCAAAATTGTAATGTGATGAAACAATTTGGAAATTACATTATTTGTATTTATTGTAAAAAAAAACTGCAGGAAATGACTAGTCTTGTTTTAATATTATTTTTGTTGAAGTATTATTAATTTGCTACGTATTTCATTCACATTTTTTTTTTTTATCAAATGTTAAATGAGAAAAATGATATGCTTATAAATACTTATAAATACCTTCTTATACTGAACATTTGATATACTAGTAACTTTCTATTATCTTAATTTCAGCATTGTATTTAAAGAATGGTGACTAGATTGATATAATTAAATTAATAAAAATAGTAATTAATATTCACATCATATATGTTTATACATATATTGCTGAAATTAAGATAATTCAATAAAAAATTATTAATTATCCATATCAAGTTCACAATGTAAATTAGCCAACTGCAAAATAGAACTCAACTCTAGTAATGCAAGGAAGAAAACGAAATGAGTAATAAATGATGTAGAAAATGAATTTAGAATACCTGATGGTATTCCAGATGATTATATTATTAAGATTGTAGAATTGAAAATTCACAATAAAAATGATATAATCTTAAAATAAGCTTCTATATCTGATAGATATCAGATATCAATAAATCATCTTTATTATAAACACATACATTTTCTATTACATTATTCTAGCTAGTAAATAAACTGCTCACAGCATTGATGTAGGATATCATACTAGTCTGATGCAGTCATGTAATCTGAAAAACAGAATGATAATTAAGAGTAATATTTTTATCAATTAATCAAAAATATGTATTGATGTGTATCCACGAATAAAAACCAAGGAATTTATTATAAAATACCTGACTCGCAAGGCGACACAACGTACTGAAAATTTATTTTTTCAACTGATAACGGACCATGAACAAGGGAAGGGAAAATGGGATGCCAAGAAAAACCATAAATCCAAGTAGCAGAAAGTGCCTATTTTGCAAGCTGAAGGGCATGTTCTATAAAGAATATCATGATTAAATATCCAATGGCCGCTTCATACATCAGGTTGTTATGCAATTATATTATATATATGCGAATTTGTACTCACATATCCAGGAACGCCATCATAAGGATTGTGATGCATGCTCCTACGAATTGCGCTCGTTGTAAACCTTCTCACCTGGTGAGCGATCGAATTTGCTGAATTTATCATATTTGAGAATAAATGCTCGACCAAATCACCAAAACTAAATTTGTTGATTTGTTCTTACGTTACCCACTATTGCGCACTCGTGCACATACACAATTACACACGTGTACAGATATTAGGCATGGTAACTACAAATAACGGCCAGTGTTGCCAAGTTATTTTGATATAGAACCAGAGAGAAGCTTGAGAGCGGTTATGCTCAGGATTTAGCTGTTACTTTATTTTGAAGCGCCTCTATGTTCACAAAATGTGAATATTGAATTATGTAACCAATGTCCGATCGGTAATGTCCACGATTTTTTGATTGTGTTCTTCGCTATATCCACGAATTTCAGTTCGTTAAATAGACAAAATTGTAAATTGCTTATAATAAAACTTATTATAAACGCCGGATTAATTGTTCGTCTTTATGTGTCTTCCACACACAGTGCGACATAGTGATCATGTCATCTTTAACTTTGTTTAACACAAACAACAAGGATGTAATGATCCATTGTGTCATTTGTGTCGCTTGAAAGGCACACTTTATCTAACGGACCGAAATTTTTGGACATAACGAAGAATATAATAAAAAAAATCGTGAAAAATTATCCGATTGGACATTAACTAATTCAATGTTCACATTTTATGGACATAGAAGCGTTTCAAAATAAAGAAAGAGGTTCCACACAATAAAAGGAATAAAGAACAGAGAACAGAGAATAAGAATTTCAACCTATCAGAAATCATATATTATACACACAATCATATATAAAATACACAGTTTATGATAGGTTGAAATTCTTATTCTGTTTTCTGTTCTTTGTTCCTTTATTGTGAGAAGTCCTAACAGCTAAATCCCGGGCATAACCGCTCTCAGGTTTCTCTCTGATATTTCTGAATATTATGGAGAATATTATAGAGAATAAGAGGCTGAACTAGGCTTTGAAAAGTGTGGTCAAAATCAGGTTTCTAAAATTAGCATTGATGATGCTCTATAGGCGGCATTCGAATCGCAAAACTTCTTTCATAAACGCTTACGCATGTCAGAAAGAAATGTGGTAAATTGTCATTAAAATTGTATGAAGAATGAAGCATTCTTCATGTAAAATTGATGACTTACCATGCAGCTGTGAGAACGCGAGAAGGCCTAATCACACCGTTTTCGCAGCTGCAGATCTGGCTGGTATTCATAGTCGAGTCTTATCAAGACCGTCTTAAGTAATGTCTAAGACACTAATGCAGCTTTCTGATCGGTTCGTGATTTCTTAAGACCGTACTTAAGACGATCTTGTATATAAGATCTGATTATGAATGCCGACCTTAGAGCTATTTCACACAAACTTGCATAGCCGTATAAACATATTCATAAAGAAAATCATTCAATTGCAGTTTACGTTTATCTTTATTACAGAAATGTGATTGGATAATTTTCTTTGCATATGATTATGCAGCTCTGCAAGTTGTGTGGAATGGCCCTTAAGGTCACTAAATTAACAAAGTATACCGCGATAACAATAGCACCGCGAAAAGAAAATTCACTGAATTAGTATTTAGAGCAAAAATGACGTTGAAGTGCAATCCTAATCAGATTCTGTTAAAAAGTCGGGAATTCATAAAGGGGTCTGGAAGAAGAAAAAGAACCTGATTCTGTTATTATCGAAAATGCCCGGTTGCTGTGTTGAAAATTGCAAAAACCGCAGCAAAAGAGGTTGAAGTTTTGATTACGAAGCCAAAATGACGAAGCTAAAAGCAAATCCCTTAAATTTTTCCTTAATAGTTTGCATTGTACGAAAACTAAAAAGAATCGCTGATAAACACTTATCTCTAGCGGAAAAAATTTTCACAAATTTAACAAAAGTTTAAATTCTAGCATTTGTTTATAGATTTTTAAAATTTTTATAAAATTCTACAAAAATTACAAAACGATCGACAGAGAGAAACCTGAGGCCGGCGTCCTATGAGTGGAAATTTACAGCGAAACGAAACACCAATCATAATTGCAGAAGAAAAGCAGAGCGATGACTGCAGAGTTGTGATTGGTCGCGCTGTTCCATTCCGCTGTAAATTTCCGTTCCATGGGATGCCAGTCTGAGAGAGGTCATGCCTTTTTCTCAGTACCGTCGAAATTGCCCTTACATTAATGTACAGTATATTCGGTTTGGAAACTACGTGATTACATCTATTTTTTGACTCGGTCAATAAAATCGTATCATCGAAAGTGGATGTGATTCGTGTCTGTATATCCACTACAATTTTATCGACTGTATCAGAAAATGGATGTAATCACGTAGTTCTCAAACCGAAAATGGATGTAATCAAGTAATTGAATATGGATGATTTCAATGGTAAAAGAAAAAAGATCAGTCTCTCTTAGGTTCCTTTTTGATTAAACCCAGAAAGAATTAAAGAAAAATGAAACGGATTTATCAAAAGCCGCCATTTTCAGTTTATCCTTGGATAGGAGCTATAGTAGAAACATAAAGATGACTTTTTTATGCTGATCCTCATTTGAATGCTCATTTTTAGCAAAATAGATCACGTGATCAAAATTGATGCTTGATATTCGTTAATTTCTATCAAGTGATTTATTTTGACGTTGAAAATGAGCATCGAGCATCAGCATGAAAAGGCACCTTAATAGAATATACGTTGTCGCATACATTAGTATAGTACCACTCTAATATTGTGTACATGTACAGCCAGTCACAGAAAGATTCTCTTTTCTGATTGGTTCTGTCATTTATAGTGCATTTCCGCAAATGCATATATGTACAGCCGGTCACAGAAAGTAGGTAGTATACAATTTGCTCACCGAGCGATTGGTTCTTACTAATGGATCTAACTATTTTATGTTCAACCGTTCTATGAGCAAGGCTGAGTTCCGAAATCTATCGAAAAATGTGTTGCAACTTTCTGTGACCAGCTGTACACATATATATGCATTTGTGGAAGTGCGCTATAAATGGCGAACCAATCAGAAAAGAGAATTACATTATCCGCTCTACTCTCCCTTGATTCTCTCTGGCCAAACTTATAACATATACTATACATATTGTAGAAAAGTATATGGATGCTGGATCTATCTTGGGTACGTTTTGATATTTTCTTTTAGTGCTGAAACTATATGTTATGTACGCTATAGATTTCTAGCACTAGCAGTGAATATCGGAATGCATTCTTTATAGATCTATGATGAAAACCATCGACATATAGTACTGTAGCAGGATTCTTTAAACGTTTTATCGATGATTGTCACTATCGTTAACTAGCCAATGACAGGACTATCGGAAGAAGAAAGCGTAATACTCATTAGCTATCACTAATTAACGATTGTGACAATTGTCAATAAAACATTTAGAGAATCCCGCAACTGGATGGAACATGCGGCGAAATTTTTCAGATTTTTCATTTTAACGGATCTATCTTTTTCTTCTTCTTGGCGAATGGACTGGCATCTAACAAGAATGGAACTTGAGGCCATTGAGTGTCTGCGTAGAATTGAACAAATAAAAAAAAAATTGGAATGCAATGCACCGACCATCCCAAACCGGGCAAATGTAACAAAAGATGATGCAATTAAAGCAAAAATGGAAGCCTCTCTAGACAGGCGTAGGCGCCTGCGCCTACGAAACCGCTGCTTCGGCGCCGTACGGACGAATAAAGGGATTATCGGTGGTGTAATACAATTGCACAGTTAAAACCACGGTCACGTTTTTAAAAAAAATGGTGATGCAACATTCGAAGCGCGAGATGCACGTCCAACCCACTCGAAACTAAACTCACAAGACTCTTAACGAATCTAGAAAAAGTAAAGTAAATACATAGACGTAATATCTCTAGACCGAGTGTATAGCAATTGCACACAAACGACACGAGTCAATTGCGCATAAGCTAATCACAGTAATAGAAAAAAAAAAATAAAAAGACTTCCTACAGAAGTCGCTGTAATAGTGGGCAATTGTTACAGATTCTTTCAGATTTACGTGCGATACCTGCAGAAAACTTAATTCGTACGACACCTGGGATTGGAGTCAGCGCGTCACGGCTATGTCGAGACTCCCAGTGCGCTTGTGGGATGTAGGTCTCGACAAGCAACTGGTCGGAGCGAGCGACTATCTACGCTCTAGCTATGCAGGCTGGTTCCGAGCTTGTAACACAGCTCACTCGTCGGGGCCAAGACCTTTAGCCAGCATGTAGCTATCAACCACTACCCCCTACTGGGCAATTATCCACGTCCTATCCATGATTGGACGTGGATAGTTGCCCAGTCCTCGCGATACCAATTTCGATCATTGGTCAGATCTTCGTAGAATATGGTACTGCTAATTTGCGCCGCCTACACGCGCGACACTGATCGGCCAATGCTTCGGGAGCCGCCGGGGATGCTTCATATAGGAATTGCTCAACATCCCGGGTCTCGAGGATGGGAGCCAAGCTTTCAACCTGATCAGCCTCTTTTCTGCGAAGGCTAATATATTGGCTTGTGCATAATCCTGAGATGATGAAGACAATGAAGTAATCAAATAGCTTCTTGCCTATCGGAACAAGCCGATTTTATATGGGGTCGGCAAAACTCGAACTCGGAACGGTAAGTCACGAATTGAACGCACAAAGCGTGTAATCACAGACGCCCGAGGGCAATTGCTACAGTGTGCAAGTGAACCACTCCCACTAGACCGAGCATTCGAGGAGGAAGGTCCTCATTTAAAATTACGCAATTAAAGGACTCATGTTCGGCCAGGAGCGGTTCACTTGCACACTGTAGCAATTGCTCACTGCCAATCACAGCGACTTCTATGTAGGGAGTTTTTTTATTTTTTTTAACACTATGAGATTGGCTTGTGCGCAAATGACTCATGTGCAATTGCTATACACTCATGTTGACCCAGATTTTCTTTCTCGTTTCGCATGCATGCAGAGAAAATGTACCTGAGTATCGATTATGTATCTTTTTCCCTAAGGCGAAAATGTGAAAAGTGAACATTTTTTGTATGTGGATATATGTTCATATATACATAAAAATTTTCACTTTTCACCTTTTCGCTCTACGAAAAAAGATATGTAGAAGATAATCAATACTCTGGGCCAATGAGTATGTCCTTTTTTAAATGAGGGCTACCTCCAAATTTCTGACAATGCTCGGTCAGTATAAGTACATACAATATCAGTATAAGTACATACAATATGGACACTGAGCATCGGCACCTTTGATGTGAGTTCCAGGTCATAACTCGCCGCCATGTTGTGGATTGGAAAATCGCTTACAAATTTGAGTTTTTATAAAGCTACAGAATGATTTTTCTAAATTAAAAAAAGACATAAAATTTGGTCGTGTCATGAAATTTATAGTGAATATATTTTTAAATCAGAATTATATAATAATATATAATAAACTCATTATATAAAAATAATATTCACATTAATAATAATAATAATAATACTAAACAGTAATAAGTAAAATAAAAATGATAATTGATTAAAATATATGAAATAATATATGAAAATTGTAATTAAATGTGAAGTTGTAATTTAATAATATACGTACACGCACACA